CATTTTGGAAAGGCGCCAATAACAGTGTATTCTCTGATCATGCGGCGGTAACTAGATTGTATTCAGGGAAAAAACTTATCCCCAAGGTTAATAAGAAGATGAGCACTCAAGCTACAAGAATATAATCCGGGTAATCAAGCATACCCCCGGAAAGGAAAATACCGTAGTAGCAGATGCCCTATCCAGAATTAAAATAGATGAAGAAGGTAATACTGTAAAGGTGGCAATGCTCACAGCATGTACAATAAATTCATTCCGGAGAAACTGTAATAACCGAACTGGGTAAGGATCCTGAGTTTGGAAGCATTTAAATATATATGATACTTAAAAAATGATCCTGAAAATTTTAGCCACCAAGATATTGTGGCGATAAGAAATAGGGCGGCCCATTACGAACTAACAGATGGTCTATTATTTTATACAAAAACTACGAATTCCAACAACGAATTTCGACCTGTTATCCCAGCTAGTCTTAGATTAAATATCCTGCAGGAGTTGCATGACAGCCCTTTAGCTTCTCATGCTGGTATTCGAAAAACTATCCAACGCGTACGCGAGGCAGTCTTGAATTTTCCTGAACTGCAAAAGTTAACAAGGGCGTATGTCCAGTCCTGCCCAACATGTCAAGCAGTTAATTATATTAATTTCCGCCCGGCCGGGTTTCTAAATAGTATTAAATCCGAATTTCCAAATGAAATAATTGGAATCGATTTATAGGGCCCTTTCCCAAAAAGTCAGTTAAATAAAAGACGCTATCTCCTTGTTATGGTTGATCATTTTAGTAAGTGGACCGAAATTGTTCCCTTAAAACGAGCCTCCGCGAAATTAGTTACTGATTCTACTTTAAATAAATATATTTTAAAATACGGGGCGCCCCTAAAAGTTACATCGGATAATGGTCCTCAATTTGTAAGTAATGTATTTGAAGACATGTGCCAAAAACTGGGCATACGTCATTTAAAAATGGTCCCGTATCGGCCTCAATCAAATATAGCGGAACGGGTCAATAGAAATATAGTGAAAATTATATCCGTAGTTATGTTAAAAATTTTCATAAAAGCTGGGATAACTATGTCAATGAATTTGCTTTCGCCCTTAGGACCGCAAAACATGATACTACGGGCAAAACTCCTGCTGAGTTATTTTTAGGCAGAAGAAAGATTATAACGCCGTTAGATAAATTATTTTATGTGCAACAAAGAGCCCAGAATTTAAAATGGGTGATATAGAAAAATTAATTAAAGAAGGAAAAAAGAACACTGAAGTAGCACAGAGAAAACAGAAGCTTTATTATGATTGAAACGACGGGGAGTAACTTATAAAGTAGGGGATGAAGTGTTAGAAATTAAGCATTCACTTTCTTCAGCACCAGAAGATAAAACTGCCAATTTTTTTCCACGATTTGAAGGACCATATGTCACAGAAAAAATAACTCAAGCTGTAGTGGTGTTAAAGGCTAGAAATGGTGAAACGTGCTCCGCAAACATTGATCAAATAAAACCCTACTATGATCGTAATAAAATGCAAATTTTCAAAGATCTTTTGAAGGATCCGGCACGGCAGACACGGCAGGCACAAGCTCCAGAGGTGGAACAACGTCAAGCACAAGGACAAGCCATTAGGAGGCAGGAGCAATTGAAAAGAAAGTTTCCCCGTTGGAAAATTGAAGGTAACAAGAAAAAGAAGCCGTTCCACCGTCCAGAAAAGAGAGCTCACGAACACCCCCAGAATGAAGAAGGGAGAAGTACGACGAATCCAAAGAAAGCCAGGAGAAATAACGGCAACTATAACCCGGCTTCCAAACGTAAGATCTAATCATCGGGCAGGACTCTCCGCAGCAAATGTCGCCGAACTGCAGAAGGGCCACTAGCGGCGGAGGAAAAGTTACAAGGAAAATTTGAACGGCCAGCAACGAGGTCCAAGCAGGAACGCGAAAGAAGTGTCCCGGTTCCGCCAAGACCAGCTGCCATCAAACGGCCAAGACCACAGCCCGCACAAGAAGGAGGATAAATCGAACGAGAATCTGCGCTACATTCCAGGACTGGGCTCAGAAAAGAATGTCCGAATATCACAAAGATAAGTAAAATTTTATGTTACTTTGCAAACTTAAGTTAATCTTTCATTCTTACTGCAAGTGGCAGATTTCAAAAAGTTTTACCTCATGTGAGGTCTACCTAAATCGCAAAAGAGGCGAGAAATGAGTGTTACCGATTTTGGTATTATGTTTTTCAATTACTCGCGCGTAAAACTAAAGTTGATGTATAATAGGAGTGTGTAAATACTTAAATATTGTAAAAGTTTTTGTATAAATTTTATTTAAAACATTCTGGCAAGAAAGAAGTTTTAGTCTGAAAGACTTTTTGAAGTAGAAGAATTGACACTTGCTTTGAAAAGAATAGAAGTTAACAATGTACTACTAATGTATATTTAAAATGCGTAAAATTAACGGCATGTTAATATGTTCTTATATACAATGTGAACTGTTATTTTAAACGTTAAGAAATACTGTGATATGGTAAAAGTGAAAGTAATGCCAAAAATTTTAAACTTATTCGTGTGACTGTAAAAGACCAAATTATGGTGAATATGTGTTAAAGGTTGAATGAATGTAGTTAGGCTCTCTGACGCTACACTTCAGAGTTAGCCACTTTCAGAATAGTACCTCAGGGTTTAGAGTTGAAGATAGGGTGTGTTACGAGGTCTTGTCATGTTGAATTTTAAAACGTTAGTGTTTTGATTGTAGGAGGCAGTGTTGAACACGTCTACATAAACACATTCGTGTTTGGTGTTCTTTTACAACACATGTCAGAGAGCACGGGGAGAAATAATTAAAATAGTCATGAATGAAATAAGAATGTTTAGAGAAATATAAATATGCATGTTACTTGCCATTTCATTGTGTAACATTTCATTAAACTAGTTTTCCTTCCAGACCAGATTTGAATAAAAGTTCCTGTTTAGATGCAGTACAGATGAAAAATTGGGTGTCCATGGAGCTGCTATTGTAAAAACATTTTTTTTTTTAATTTCTAGTTTCTAGTGAGAAATGTTTGTAAAGATTGGCCTCGCGTTGGCTCGCGTTAGATTCTAGAGCTAAAAGTTTTCAACAAGGTCGTTTTAGACCTCAGTTTCAAACTAATTACCTTTGGCGGGAAGTATGTAAGGATCTTAAGTTTTACTAACGTTTATTTTATTTTAAATCTTTACTATCACTTCTTATTTTCTACTTCCGGCCAGAATTAAAAGCGTTAACTTATTTATGCAAAATTTGTCTGGCAAACGCCAAGTACTTAAGTTGTGGCTTTTTGCCAAGCGAGAGAGAGGAAGGAGTTAGTCGAAGCAGGCCGCTTGCCTTAGAAGCTTTACTCGGTTGCTGTTTGCCTTCCAGGCCAGAGGTTTAATCCTCGTGATAATTTTAAACGTATTGTAGTATTAAGAGTTGTCTCTACTACATACGGCTTCCTGTTAATATAAGGCCAATCTTCCGCATTTATTATTCCAAATTTAAGTTAGAGTTTAGTTATATTTTTATATTCTTACGTTCAGACCACAAGTAGTTGGTCTCTGTATTCCGAAGCACGGAAATTATTGTAAAGAGTGAAAAATAAAGGGTTTCGTATACCCTTCCTGTGTATCATGTCTACTTCCCTCAGTTATTGAAGATAGCTTTAGTAAGCTCCCTGTTCCGAGTCAGGTCTGTGCATGTTCCCAAAGAAAGTAAGGCGGAACATTGAACCAGATAATGTTAGGAAAGGTAGCAATTTATTCGGCTTTGACTTGGGAAATGGTAAACTCTTGGGTAGGCATGTTCCTCCAGGATGTTATGAAACTCTACCCGAACTTCTGAAAGCCATGACTTTAGCATCTCACAAAAATAAAATTGAATTTCAGTACCATCCAGTGACAAAAAGAGAGTCAAAATCAAAACAGAAAATGAAGCTAAAGTTATCCTATACAAAGGAATTTCTGAATTAATAGGCTTCGAACCCGGCGAATACAAAGGCATTACAGAAAGCCCTTTTATCGCTTATCCTTCGTCATCTTTTCCACTCATGTACATTTATTGTGATTTGGTTGAGCCACAAATTGTAGGAGATATACAAGCTCCCCTCCTGAAAATCGTAAAAGTAGAAGGCAAAGATGGAGAGGTACTAAATGCGCATTATGTTCGCCCTCATTATATGCCAGTTGTTCGACAAGATTTTCAGACTATTGAATTAGCTCTCAGGTTGCACTTTGGAGATCTAGTTCCTTTTGAAAGAGGGAGAGTCATAGTCGTTTTGCATTTTAGAATGCGACAGATCTTATAAAATATATTGCATTTATACCCCAAAGTCATTTGTTAACAGGATATTTTAGAAGAAGCATCATGCTCGTTCCATATACCTGTTGTCCAAATCATTACATCAATCAAATTGGCAGTGCTGCTCCTTATTATAAAAGAGTTTCGTTTCAGAAAGGTTATGGGATTGGCGGATGGTTTCGTACAGCCTTTCGAATATCACTGCCTTTTGTAATGAAAGGTGCCAAAGCATTTGGAAAAGAAGCATTGCGAACTGGAACAATGATTGCTAGTGACATTTTAGCCGGTAAAAAATTATCGACATCTGCTGAAGAAAGAAACGGGCAAGAATTTAGCAAGAAAAGCTTTTAAAAAAGCAGATGGCATGCTGAGGCATGGTAAAATAAATAAAAGAAAGAGGAAGTAAATGAAACATTTCATTCCTTCAAAAGCCAGAGCAAAGAAAAGACGTGACGTTTTTGATTTGTAACGATGGCATTTTTATTGAAAGATTCACCCGAATGTGCTAAATCGGAACTAAAGTTTATTCACTTTACACCCCTACACAAACAGTCATAGAAAGAGGAACAATGGGTACAGTTTCGTTCCACTTTCAAATGCTTCCGATGAAGGTCCAATTGAATTTCATGTGTCTGGCACGGGAGAAGATTATTTAGATCTCTCCCAAACACAGCTTTTCCTTAAAGTGAAAGTTGTTATGAGTGATGGATGCTTATTGAAAGATGAAGAAAAAGTGGGGCTAGTAAATCTTTTCGTGCATTCTTTATTCTCTCACGTGGACGTTGCTTTAAACGAAAGACTGATTTCTTCAAGCAACAATACTTACCCTTACCGCGCAATCCTTGAAAAACTGCTTAATCATAACTACGATGAGAAGAGTTCACAGCTTTCTGCTGAGCTCTTTTTCAAAGACACAGCTGGGAAAATGAACGTATTTTACCCTAGTGACCCGAATCCTAACGATAGTTTTACTAAACGAGCTGATTTTATCAAAACAGTTGATATGATTGGGAGACTTTACATTGATCTATTCCATCAAGAAAGACTGATGCTCAATCTGGTAGGTTTAAAATTGAAATTTATAAGAAGTAAACCGGAATTTCTGCTTAATAGGGCGAAAACAGTTACAAGATTCTTATCCAGCATGCTTTCACCTTTTTGTGAGAAAGGTTCATGTGAATCCAGCAGTGACGCTTGGCTCACGTCCAAAAGCCTTGAGAAAACAAGTGCGAAATACCCAATTAACAGAGTGTTGTGTATTTATTTCATTCCTCAAGGTAATATGTCTTTTGTACAAGATAATATCTTTGCAGGTCAAATGCCCAAACGATTAGTTATTGCTTTCGTGGATAATGACGCGCTCAACGGTACATATAAATATAGTCTCCTTTTGAGTTCAAACATTATCATATGAATTTCATATCAGTTTACATGGAAGGGCAACCTGTTCCTTACTACCCTCTGGAGCCTAATTTGGAGAATAATACATTTATTCGTGCCTATCAAAGTTTATTTCTTTCTGCCGAAGAAAGAGGACTTTATCTCTCGAGAAGTGAATATGATAATGGTTACTCTTTCTTTGTCTATGATTTATCTCCTGATCTCTGCAACGGTGAACATTTGAACCTCGTACGACATAGTAACTTGAAACTGGAAGTAAAATTCTCTAAGATTTTAGAACAAACTGTTTCTGTTATAGTGTACGCTGAATTCGAAAATCTGATTGAAATCAACAAAGCTAGAAATATTTTATTTGATTTCGGGAATTAATGTATGCTTCTCAGATACAACGAAATGTATCTAAAGATAGAGATGCAGCTTGGCACAATGAGGCATGCTTCATTCTTCACACGAGGAGTTTTGTCAGAGGGAAATACTCCCATAAATTTCCAAGCTGCATCTCTATCTTTAGATACAATTCGTTTGTATCTGAGAAGCATACATTAATTCCCGAAATCAAATAAAAAAATATTTCTAGCTTTGTTGATTTCAATCAGATTTTCGAATTCAGCGTACAACTATAACAGAAACAGTTTGTTCTAAAATCTTAGAGAATTTTACTTCCAGTCTCAGGTTACTATATCGTACGAGGTTCAAATGGTTCACCGTTGCAGAGATCAGGAGATAAATCATAGACAAAGAAAGAGTAACCATTAGCATATTCACTTCTCGAGAGATAAAGTTCCTCTTTCTTCGGCAGAAAGAAATAAACTTTGATAGGCACGAATAAACGCATTATTCTCAAAATTAGGCTCCAGAGGTTGGTAAGGAACAGGTTGCCCATCCATGTAAACTGATATGAAATTTATATGATAATGTTTGAACTCGAAACGAGACTTTTTATATGTACCGTTGAGCGCGTCATTATCCACGAAAGCAAGAACTAATCGTTTGGGCATTTGACCTGCGAAGATATTATCTTGTACAAAAGACATATTAACTTGAGGAATGGAATAAATTTTACACAACACTCTGTTAATTGGGTACTTCTCACTTGTTATCTCAAGGCTTTTGGCGTGAGCCAACGTCACTGCTGTATTCACACGAACCTTTCTCACAAAAAGGGAAACATGCTGGATAAGAATCTTGTAACTGTTTTCGCCCATTAAGCAGAACTCCGGTTTACTTCTTATAAGTTTCAATTTTAAATCTACCAGATTGAGCATCAGTCTTTCTTGATGGAAGAGAGAGATCAACGTGAAGTCTCCCAATCATATCAACTGTTTCACTCTTTTTGATAAAATCAGCTCGTTTAGTAAAACCTTCGTTAGGATTCGGGTCACTAGGGTCAAATACGTTCATTTTTCCAGCTGTGTCTTTGAAAAAGAGCTCAGCAGAAAGCTGTGAAGTCTTCTCATCATAGTTATGATTAAGCAGATTTTCAAGGATTGCGCGGTAAGGGTAAGTATTGTTGCTTGAAGAAATCAGTCTTTCGTTTAAAGTAACGTCCACCTGAGAGAATAAAGAATGCATGAAAAGATTTACTGGCCCCACTTTTTCTCCTTATTTCAATAAGGATCCATCACTCATAACAACTTTCACTTTGAGAAAAAAAGCTGTGTTTGGGAAAGATCTAAATAATCTTCTCCAGTGCCAGACACATGAAATTCAATTGGACCTCCATCGGAAGCATTTGAAAGCGAATGAAACTGTACCCATTGTCCTCTTTCTATGACTGTTTGTGTAGGGGGTAAAGTGAATAAATTTAGTTCCGATTTAGCACATTCAGGTGAATCTTTCAATAAAAATGCCATCGTTACAAATCAAAAACGTCACGTCTTTTCTTTGCTCTGGCTTTTGAAGGAATGAAATGTTTTATTTGCTTCCTCTTTCTTTTATTTATTTTACCATGCTCCAGCATGCCATCTGCTTTTTTAATAGCTTTTCTTGCTAAATTCTTGCCCGCTTCTTTGGCTCTTTCTTCAGCAGATGTCGATAATTTTTTACTGGCTAAAACGTCACTAGCAATCATTGTTCCAGTTCGCAATACTTCTTTTCCAATTGCTTTGGCACCTTTCATTACAAAAGGCAGTGCAGTTCGAAAGGCTTTACGAAACCATCCACCAATCCCATAATCTTTCTGAAACTAAACTCCTTTATAATAAGGAGCATCACTGCCAATTTGATTGATGTAATGATCTTCGAACTTTTTTGGACAACAGGTATATGGAACGAGCATGATGCTTCTTCAAAACTATCCTGTTAACAAATGACTTTGAGGTATAAATGCAATATATTTTATAAGATTTGTCGCATTCTAAAATGCAAAACGACTATAACTCTCCCTCTTTCAAAAGGAACTAGATCTCCCGAGTGCAACCTGAGAGCTAATTCAATAGTCTGAAAATCTTGTCGAATAACTGGCATATAATGAGGGCGGCATAATGGGCATTTACTACCTTTCCATCTTTGCCTTCTACTTTTACGATTTTCAGGAGGGGGCTTGTATATCTCTTACAATTTGTGGCTCAACCAAATCACAATAAAACACAGTGGAATGACGAAGGATCAGCGATAAAAGGGCTTTCTGTAATGCCTTTGTATTCACCGGGTTCAAAGCCTAGTAATTCAGAAATTCCTTTGTATAGGATAACTTTAGCTTCATTTTCTGTTTTGATTTTGACACTCTTTGTCACTGGATGGTACTGAAACTCAATTTTATTTTTGTGAGATGCTAAAGTCATGGCTTTCAGAAGTTCGGGTAGAGTTTCATAACATCCTGGAGGAACATGCCTACCCAAGAGTCTTAAGTCAAAGCCGAATAAATTGCTACCTTTCCTAACATTATACCAAGAATGCGGGTATAATAAATGCACTAGCGCCAGTTCCCATTCTCCAGTGGCTAAATGTAGTGGAATAGGTAGCTCAGTTGTAAAATGTGAAATTTTATTTTCGGGGAAGAATTGCTTAGAGCTATCACTCACTAGCGTCGCATAGAAAGACATCTTAGAGAATGATACTTGAAAACTGATTTTGCGACACTTATATGAATTTGACGTCGGTGACCCAAGCATTAAATTTATCTGGATAATCTTGAAATTTCACAAAAATATTCCATTTTCCCATTTCTTTTCCTCTTTTGTAAAACCTTTTCTACGGGATAATATCCTGAGTCAGTAATTTTTTGAATTTCTTGTTTATAAAATGTGCCTTTGATCACTTCTTCTGCTAAATCTTTCAATTTATAAACCACAGGATCTCTGAGAACAATCTGATGTATAGTAAAAATTTCTCTTGTAAACGTTTTTTTTTCATACCCTTTTTCAAACATCAACTTTTCCTTGCTGATACGAACAGTATCTCCAACTTTAAACTCTGAATCTAATATTTTCCTTACTGTTTAGATTTCCGTAGAGATTATTCCATACTTGTTTTTTCTGATTTGCAACATTTACGCAAAGCTGGTTCCATTCTGATACTACGATGCCAAGTCTTATTATAGCTATGCACTAGTTTGCCGATAACAATCAATGTATCTGTTAGTATTCATTTCAGTAAATGTTTCCACATTTTCGTTTTTAAGGTTCTTTTAAACCGTTCAACAACTGACGCTTTTGTATTGTTATGTGTGGTAAAAAAAATGTACTTTCTTTCTCTTTAAATAATCCTGGAAACGTTTATTTGTAAACTCTTTCCCAGCATCAGTTTGAAGCTTGTTTGGAGTTCGCTCAGAAAATATTTTTTTGAAAGCTGACACAATTGTTTGGGCTTTCTTATCTTTCAACGGTATGGCCAGGCATATTTTGATAAAATATCAATGCACGTTAACAGATACCTGTAGCCGTCGTTAAATTGAGCTAAAGTTTGCATATCTACCAAGTCTGACTGAAATTGTTTGTTTATACCATTAAAGATCACTCTGTTTCTTTGAAACTTCCATTTCAAAGGTTTGTGCAAGGTATAAGAATCTTTCGTTTTTAGCCAGTTCTTTATAGCTTTAAAACTATAACGTCCTTCTAATGAACGATGCAAAGCAATAATTCCACCGAAACTGGCAGGATGTTCTGGATTTCTATATGTATTTTCCAAACTCATGATAACACAGTGTATTTATTTATTTACTCATTTAAATATTCTGTTTAAGGTAGCTGTTATTTGTTTTTTACATGCAATCAGATTATGACAAAAAAACTCAACTTCTCACGTGAAGCAAAAATTACAAAATGACATATAATGGGAAAATAAAAAACATTTATTTAAGCAATTCTTTCTTACAAACGCCAAGGATTAGGAGCCGAGGCTACATACAACTCTTTAGCATTTTTTAACAGTACGTCAAAGTCTAGCTTTTTTACGAAAGATTCATTAATATAATTGGATATGTGAATATTTTGTTGCACAAAATCAGCAGCTACAGTTTTTAAGTCCATTCGACATAAAGCTAGTTCTGCATATCGAAGCATTCTTAAATCATACGTTAAGGTGACACAGTCATGACCGAGCTGATTTTCATATCCTTCAGCACAGCCATCACATTCAAAAACTTCTTCGATCATTTCAGCTAAGCAGTTTTTGAGTAGTTCGATCATAGAAGTTGTTAACAGAATTTCAACATCTTCAACGGTTAGATCACTAGCACAAGGTGCTTGCTTGGCAGCTTCCTTTAAGTTTAATTAAATTTTGGAAAAATTCTTCCAAATTTGAGTGTAATAACGTTAGAAGTGATTTCATTGCGTAACGTTCTTTAGTGTATTGTATCCCACTCATTTTCAGTAAGGAAGCATACGGATGGTAAAAACTGCCGTGTGAAATCCTTGTGTTGAAAATAACACTGCATTGAGATATCGAGTTTGTCTTCAATGACTACAGTTGAAGGCATCAATGCATCTCGTATGACCATTTGACCATAACGAGAAAATATGTTAGATGAATCAAAGTCCAGAGATTGCCAGACGAAAAGCTTCAGTGTGATTC